GAAGTTTGTAGCTCTCAGTAAGTTGTTGGATGGGCCTTCTGGGTAGAGTGCATGGGAAGCTTCTTTAATGGCTACTGGGACCGACTGAAATCTACGCTCGCTGTACAGCGCCTGAACTTTAGATTGGTTTAAATTATATTATTTCTTTTGAGTTTAATTTTTTTATATTCTTAAATGATGTTAACTTGAAATAAATAAATTATATTCTTTAAATGAATATTAAAATTTGTTGACAATATATTTTTCATATTTTATAGAACATGAAGTCCGACATTAAGTGCACATCCGCTTACTCGTGAACATTGACTTGTCCAACGAAGATTTGAGTGCCGCCAAAAACTAGACACCAAATCACTCCGGCATACTGTGAACACGTCAATACATTTTGTTCGGTTTGGGTCAACTTGAGGTTTTATCCGATGAAATCGAACTATATCCATTCGGGTTCTGAAAAATTAACCAAACAAACTCGAAATGTTAATCCAACCTAACTCAACTCCTATAATTCAGGTTAGGTCGGTTTACGTTGTTGGATTCATTTACAATCCTAATTACAGCTATCACTCCCGACCTCAGAATGGAGAATTAAAGGTGTCTGCCATTTGCAAATAGATAGAAAACTACGGAATGGAGAATTCTCATTTCCATATTCGCCAGTTTCTGAATCCAAGTCAAAAACATTTTATATATGAATAACAATTACTGAAATCCAAGCGTCCAAGCTATCATCACCTGGTATTAACTTAAGAAAACCAACCAAAAAAAGAAAGCCTCTGGGATACATTACTCATTTACAGGCATGATCTTATTTGGAATCCAAGAGTTGTGCTGGTTCCATGAAACTGACTCTAAATTTGATCCAAAATGACCTCTGCCCCGGTAACCTTAAAGTCAGATGGAGCTTCCTCTATGTTAAGAGCCTTAACCGTCCCATCTACAACATAAGCTGACCATCTACAAAGAAGCAGAACATCAAAGAGTGTAGAATTGTCTACCTACTTGGACTCCATCTAAAACTAGAACAGCCCTACACAATCCAAACACTTTTGGCATGGGAGAACAAGATTGATCGATCGTACCTTTGAGAACGAGGGCCGAGCAGAGCAATAGAAAGATCTTTATCCAGTTCCAGGCTCTTGTGAAAGCTCCCGTCGAAGTCACCGTAAAATTGTATCTATTTAGAACAAAGAGGATAATGTCAGGATTGTATTATTATAAAAATTATGCAGCTTTATATGTTATAAGTCTGGACAAGGAAGCTTACAGCATCTTTCGCTCCAAGTTTCTCAGCCCAGCCATTGAGAGTATATGGGTCATTTACAGAGACGCAAATAACAGAATCAATTCCCTTAGCCTTAAACTCATCCATTTTATTCTTGTAGCTAGGAACGTGCTGCTGGGAACAAACTCCTGTATATGCACCCTGGAAATTGGAAATGCAACTTTGAAATATGCATCATAGTATAAACGAATTTAACACTGGAAAACACAGAGAAAGAGCAATTTTATATCTACTCCACATTCATCAACGATTGAATATTTATGACTTACAATTTACAAGCAAGCTTCAACAAAATGCCATGATTACCCACTTAAACAGGACATAAACATTGAATATTATGTTAAATGCTAAATGTTGTTTGATGACAAGTAGCAGCTTGTTTTCATTTTTTAATTTTCAAGATCGAAATAAGAGGTTGTACTTGATTTTCTCAATTATTCACTCCTTACCAAGGGAAGAAATAAGGGCGGTGTTGTTCTCGATCTTATATAATCTAATATCTATCACACTAAGTCCCATAGAGTTGATATGTAATAGTCCAAGCTCACCGCTAGCAAATATTGTCCTTTTTGAACTTTCCCTTTTGAGCCTCCCCTCAAGGTTTTAATACATGTCTACTATGGAGGAGAGAGTCTAGCCCTACTCCGGCCAGTGTCTCACATTGTCTAGTGACTGGCTCTGATACCACTCAAGCTTTTAATACATGTCTACTATGGAGAGGGTCTAGCCCTACTCCGGTCAGTGTCTCGCACGGTCTAGTGACTGGCTCTGATACCATTTGTAACCGCCCAAATCCACTACTAGCAGATATTAGTCCTATTTGGGCTTTCCCTTCTGGGTTTCCCCTCACAGTTTTAAAACGCGTCTACTAGGGAGAGGTCTCCACAACCTTATAAGGATTGCTTCGTTTTCCACTCCAACCCATGTGGGATCTCACATGATCCAACTGATAAAAACTAGTTTGGACTAAATAACTCACCAGAGTTCAAATCTCCATATTTACTGGCCACAATCGCGTAAAGCTAACAATTCATTGAATCATAAGGTTTTATATATCAAATATTTATCAGCTAAGAGTACAAAATAAAGTTCATATATTCTCAGTACAAATCTAAAAAAAAATTTCTCAATATCCAATCAATCCTTTAGAGGTCAGAAATGAATGATGAACCACGAAGCATGTTTCTGATCCCTAAAATAAATCTTCATTTTACCAATGGATGAAAGCATTGATCATGAAAGTGAGCATATAAAAGTTCTTGTCCCAATCAAAGAGGCACACCGCATTGAAAAGGAGATGAAGACTTATACGTTGGCAACTATTTCGTACAGAATTCATCATTTACATAGCATGTATACAACTGTAAAATACTGAATAGATTCACTTACAGGAAGCCCAAAGATGACGACCTTCTTGCCCTGAAATACAATGACCAATGGATTAATAAGATAAAGACTGAATACACTCAAATTATCATTCCATATAAAGCGTCAAACATAAACATTAAGCTCAAATCTGACCTTGAAAGCCCAAAATTTCAATAAACATCAACATTTTTGTCTTATCTAAAATGCACAAGGATACTTCAAAAACTAAAACAATTAACCTCAAAACAAAATGCGAGTTAGAAATACACGAACAATCTAAGAACGGACCTTGAAAATGTCTTTAAGCGGAGTCGTTGAGAACTTGGAGGAGACACCTTCGTCCCAGCTCCGAGCCTTCTGGAGAGCAACATCCGGTGCGGCGGAGACGATATCAGTCCCGACCGCCACCGCCGCAAAGGCTCGTGATGAAGCTCGGATTCGCATAGATTCAACCAGCGAGCTCATTGCGGAGGCGTTGACACGCTTCAGAATTGCGGAAGCCATGGATAAGCCTAGCTGATACAAGATCCTCGACTATCAAATTGAAGAATACCACTTGGTGGGCGTGAATTAGTTGATTATAGACAGATTTCGCGGGAAAATTGGAAGGAAATGGGCGATTAGGCACGGTGGCTTATGAAGAAGAAGCTCATCGAACTCTGAATTTACACCTGGGCTTGAAGAACACGCGATTTTGGGTATGGGCTTTAGTTTCGGCATGGGCAAGACTGAATTGGGCTTTAATTGGTGGATCATTGACCAACATGTTAGGCCCAAAATTAATTGGGCCATGAGAAAGCCCAAATAGATGTAGTGGGCTTAGGAGGTTGTATCAATTTAAATGGTAATTTTTGCAAATTTATAATTAAATCAATTAAACTCCTAATTGTTTTATAAGTAAACTCACTTTCTATTTCAAATAATTAACGATTTTGAATATATTAAAACATAATCAAAATTCTGCATAACTTTATTTCATAAGTGACATAACCAACATATCACTATCTCACATGAACTAATATAATAAATAATTAAATGTTAATACACAAAATAAAACTTGGAAATATTTAGAAAGGATACTAAAATGTCTAAGCTCAACTCTTTTTGGGCTTAAAATAATAGGTCGACGACGGTTGAGAATTGAGCCTCGTATTTCCCGACTTGATTCTGTAGCCCACGACATTTCTATGCTTCCTCTTTGGTGATGGTAACCGTGTCGGGATGAAAACTCCAGTACCTTTGCTCTCCCTTACAAAGCCATTCTTGTAATCCACCATTAATGGCAATTGCCCAGGTCGAACTCGGTGTATTGTTCGACTCAAATCCTGCAAAAACGTTAATAATTAATATGTTTAAGGACAAGTTTAGTCCCTAAATTTTTTGAAGGTATTTGAGCTATGTACTTTATATCCCGACTAAACATGGTTTTTCTTAGGTCCGCACCTAAAAATACTTCAAAATCAATTACTATATTAACCCTAGAAACATTTTAAACATTAAACAACATAAGACTGGTTTTTCGTGAAAGGAGATGAAATGAACCGTATGAACGCTCGGAAGCTCGTCATCATCCATAATGAGAAGCGAAATCCGTCTCGTGAGCTCGGCAAACAACAAATCATCATCGTCGACTTCGGTTTCCATCTCGAATCCTCGAAAACAAAGCAAAAAGTGAAAAGGGAACCAAGAAAAAGAGTGGTTGGTTTGCCTCATTTCAAGTTTGAAGTAAGATTTAAATAGGTTGAAAGTGAAATTTAATATATTATATAATATATTATCCATTTGGAAAAGACAGAAGAAAAAGACATAATTTTAACTCCAAATTATCTAATCCAAACCCCTATCTCTGCTTCCCAATTGGCTGAGAGAGATCCACATGTTCTTGAGGAGAATCCAATTTTTTTTTTTTTTTAATTTTCAAAAAATTCTCTCCACAAATAATATATTTTTTAGTTAATTCGTACGACCGACCTAACAAGAATTAAGAACGTTATCGAAGATGCGAGAATAAGGTATGATCAATCTTATAAAATGCTTAAGGAATAGCAACATAGATGCTTATTGTCTTATGCTCGGCTATTGATTAAGGCCCAGCGTCCTCGTCGGCACACCACCTAGTGTTTGACTTTAATATCATTTGTTTGGGCTTTTCCTTTTGGACTTCTCTCCAACTAATGTGAGATCTCACATCTTTACTCGTTTACCTCTAATGTGACATGTTCCCTTTAAGTTATACGATCAACGGGAGTCCCTCCTCGAGCAAGCTCTTTTTCTTCTGTGAGGAGTAAAGTCATCCCCTCTATAGATTGAACTCCCTTTCACCAACTCCCGACCATCACGGGTCACCTCGGAAAGTTTGAATAGAAGCCATTAAATTACCTTGGAAAGACCTTTTACATTGTAATGTTACAAATTTAGCACTAAATATGTACAAAAAAAGGAAAAACTATGCTGTTTATTCCAAGTATGCCCCTGGCTGTCCAAAAATTTTGGCTGCTTCCAAAACTAATGAAGAATGTTGACTTGGCTTCTGCTTGCATTTCTGTAAGCTGATTCAATCACTTCTCTGTAAAGCTTCAGTAATCATCAATGTTCTTCGTAAATTCAAAACGGTTCTTGCAGGAAGACGACCAACCGACCGACTCGATATGTCCATAAGTTACGGATACCTGTTTGGCATCAAGAGTTCCATTCATGCTTCAAGAACAGTGCATAAAGAAGTTCATTCCACACATCAGGAACCCCAGGCAAACACCAATGACTACAATCCTGTCGATGAAGAGGCGCAGGACCAACATCGCGACCGAGGTAGTAAAGTGACGAATGCCCATCCTTTCTCCGTGCAGTCATTTGAGTTACATTTAGTATCTCTAATTTCGTTGTGTTTTGCACGGTCGGGTAACTTGAAAGGATAGCATTAGCTAGCCTGAAATGTGACCATGTTTCAGGAGGAACGAGCGAAGAACCGAGCTCAGGTAGAGCTTCCAAGTGACAATTCCCACCAGTCCTCCAATTTCCACCTCTGCATGATTTGCAAATCTCATTATACACACAAAACTCCAAAGAAACTCCGAAAAACGAAACATAAATCTCCAAAAACTTACCGAAAATGAACCGGGGCGAACATTCGAAAAAAAACCTTCGTTTTTTTCGAGTCTAGTTCGTTGTTGATCCAATGCATCACGGTCTCAAGCGACCGCTGATACGCATCATTGATCTTCATTCCAATCTTTACCTCATTTCCTTCTTGGAAGTAACAGCCTCTGTTCATATCATACAAGAACACAAATCATTCATTGAGAGAAGCTTGGAAATGGAACTCATAAAAGGTTTAAAACGTTACCCTCTTATGGTCTTCTCATAGTTCCACCAATGCCCTGTGTTGAACACCAAAACATCAGCATTTTTCCACTTGGCTGAGGACCAATCCATTTGATCTAGCTTAAGGGTAGTCTTGATGGCTTGAGAGGCCCCTGAAGGAGGCCGGCTCTGCAAGATGAGAAAGGGAGCTCTGTAATACTCAACAGTGCTGTTGAAATCCTTGAATTTGAACACTAAGGATCCCTTGTGCTTTGTAATGGGGCTGCCATTCACTTCATATATGGACTCTTTGTTTGGGACTACAGATGATAGCATACATAGAAGAGATTCCCATTGGTTTCGTCCGATCGAGTCGCCGATGAACACCATCCGTTTGTTTCTTAGTTTCTCTAACATGAACGTCGCGTTGAATCTAATGAACGTCAATCCAAATATGTTTAAGAGATGATTCGAAAAACACCCATTAAAAGTTGATCATTCAATGTCAAACTTATGAACAGTGAGTAGCAGCTTCAGAATTACACAAACTAAAGGATAGAGTTTAATTGTCACAAATTCATAAGTTTAAAAAGTTTAGAAGTGGTTTTGTAGATGCATTTTTAAAAAATTTAAATGGTAGCTCGAAAGGGAAAGCCCAAGGAGGACAATATCTTCTAGCGGTGAGTTTGGGCTGTTACTAATAGTATTAAAGCCAGACACAGGGCGGTGTGCTAGCGAGCGAGAACGTTGGGCCCCGAAAGGGAGTAGATTGTGAGACCCCACATCGATTGGAGGGAGGAATGAGTTCGAGTAAGGACCTATGTCCCGAAGGGGGATGGATTGTGAGATCCCATATTGATTGGAGAAAGGAATGAGTGCTAACGAGGAAGCAAGTGACAGCAAGGACGCTAAGCCTTGAAGATGGTGGATTGTGATATCCCACATCGATTGGAGACCAACAAGGAAGCAAGTGACAGCGAGGACGCTAAGCCCTGAAGAGGGTGGATTGTGAGATCCCATATCGATTGGGGAGGGGAACAAGTGACAGTAAGAACGTTGGGCCCGAAAGGGGTGGATTGTGAGATCTTACATCAATTAGAGAGGGAAACGACATCAATTCGAGAGGAAAACAAGTGCCAACGAGGACGTTGGACCCAAAAAAGGGTGGATTTTGAGATCCTACATCGGTTGGAGAGGAGAACAAAACATTTTCATTCTTTATAAGGTCATGGAAATCTCTTCCGAGCAGAAACACAATAAAACATCGTTTTCATAACCAAACTAACTAGAACAATAATTAAGTAACAAAATTCCATTGATAATTACAAGAAACGCAACAATTTCAATGATTACTACATAAACAGAAGCTCATCTATACTACACAGAGAGGTCCCTATCTCACAACCATCCAACGATTCACGGGTGAAATCAATCAATGAACAGAAAGAACAAAATGACAAATATCACAAACGAGTGAAGAACATAAAACAAGAAATTCAAACTAAGCAGAATCCAGACCTCGTAATAATCATCAACACAATTCAAACTAAGAAATCCGCCACAATCAGATTAATCTAACAAAGAACATGAAGAACAGAGAAGAAAATGAACCTGGGCAAGTTACAAAGCTTAGGTTGCCATCTCCATTTAGTGTATAACAAATCAGGGCGGCCATTTTCAGAGCAGCGAAAGCCTTGATCCACAAATGGGCAGTTCATAGACTCATACAAAGGATAAGAATCATCCCAAACCCAATCTCCATCAAACACATCACATCCATTTCCCTCTTCAGAAAGAAACTCAACCTTACGAATCTGACTCAAATTTTCATTTCTCAACCAATTAAATCTCTCTGATCGAAGCGCAAACACAAACCCTTTAGAAGCAGTTCTAAAATCCAAGTAAAAGAACCCACAAATCAAACAAACCGATACAAAAAAGAAGCCCAAAACCGCAATCGATGGCTCAAACAGCCTCAATCGCTTCAGTTTATTGCAGACTTCAGTGAACGCCATGGCTTCAAGAAGAATCAGAGAAGGGTTATTAGACATTGAAGGGTAAACAAAGAGGGAATAATCATGAAATCGAAGTTGTTTTGCTTGGTAGGTCAGTTTAGAGAAGTAATGAATGGAGGGATTTGAAAAGAAAAAAGAGGGGAAAGAGAGATATGGGTGTTAAGGAAGCAAGGAAGCATTCATGGCGGAAGAATAAACAACAAAAATCTTCTTCCCCACTTTACTTCTTTTTGGGTTTCACTTTATGAACAGATTATAATGAAATGAAGAAGATGACTAAGAACAACAACTTCAAAATGGAGAAGAAAGTGGGTTGGGATTAGAAAGTGGTGCGGTTGCTTACTGTAATTTGTTAAATGGGAAGAGAGAGAAACAGAGGAGAGAGAAAGAGAGGAAGAGAGAGAAAAGGGTTTGATTGGCAAACTCGTGGGTAACGGATAGCCGGAGGAGGAACACTAAGTCCACCATCATTGCCACTTCCGGTGCGTGAAATTACTATTTAGTCCTTAGACTTATAAATTTTTTTAAGATATAAAATTTAGAAACTTATTAAATTAGATTACTTTGAAATAACAAAATACATAAAAATATTCAATTAAACAATAAGTATTTTACTGCTTATAAAATTTTAATTTTATTTAATTTTATGTCAATTTTTAAAAAATAAATTAACTAAATTTTAGAATAATAAATGTTTTACCTATTAAACAAATTACCTAATCGGAAATAATGTGGATGGTAGGTAGATAAAAAAATTAATTGGCATTAATTTAGGTTTGTGTAGTGCACGATTTGAAAGGCGCGTGGGGGATGTTCTTGCCGTAAACGGGATTTCGGACAATGCTTTGGCTGTAAAGCCGTTTTACATACTGCCGTTATTTTGCTTTTCTTTTTGTTGTTTTTTTTTTTTTTAAATAATAATAATATAATAATAAGATCAAAACCAGATGCATCGACGCGCCGTGAACAACCAACAGCGACGAATCTAAGCCCATATTTATTTTAATTACGGGAAAAAATGTATTATATTTGGTAAATTCATTTATTTTTATTGGAACATATTTTAAATTGTACATTACTAAATTTATTTATTTATTATTAAAAATATTGGTAAAAGTACTTTTTAATAATTTAAATTTAATATTGGTAATAAATACCTTTCTTTTTATTGTTGTAATAAAAAGTAGAAAATGGAAAAAGAATATTTAAATAAATAGAAAACAAATATTGTCCACTTTATAAAATGTATTAAAACTTATTTTTCAAGTCAAAATTTAATAATTATTCTGAAAAATAAAAAGTCATAACTCAATGACTTTTTTAATGTTTTTTTTTTTTTTTGCTTGAATTTTAAAAAATTGTGAAATTCAACTAGTTTTTTTATTTTAAAATTAAAATATAAATTGGGAATATTTTTAAATATATAAAAACACATGAATAAATAATTGCCGTCACTCTATATAATAATTTAAAAGAAAAAAAAAGTCAAAATTTTTCATAAAAATTTATGATATTAATTAAACCATTAATTAATTAACATATTTGAAAATATGTAAATTTATTTGGTACATGAAATTAGATCAAAATATTTATTTTTTGATATATTAAAAATGTTTAATTAAATTAATAATTTAATGAGTAAATAAATGTGATTTTTTTTTTTAAGTGAGGATTAAAAAATGAGAATAAAAAAATAATAATAATAATAACCATTCGTCCAAATTAAAAAAGGGTGCCATATTTCTTGACGTATCAACAAGGCATGGATTAATTAAAACTATAATATATAAATATATATTTCGTAAGATCTATAGTACTCATTATTATTAATTAAATCTTTGACACATCACCATCGGTCTAACAGACCTTTTAATCAAACATATTATTTAAATCAAAGTATTATTCCGATATTTGCTTGGCCTTTTATTATAATTTGTTATTTAAATCAAAGTATTATTCATCGAAAGTATTATTCTGATATTTGTAGGGACAAAATTGTCCATGTCAGCTAAATGGGGACCTCGATATCTTTTATTTTCTCGTGAATTAAAACTTTTTGAAAAATTATCAAAATTAGTAGGAGAATTCTATAATAATTATTAGATATAAATTTAAAAAATATATTTCATAATTATTGTCTTAAATATTCAAGAATAATAAATGGTTAAGATATATATAATTTCAATAAGCAATAAATGCACATCAATATGAAAATGAAAGAATGAAGAATTAAATTGTAATTAAAATCATACACGTAAATCAATGCCAAACTTTAGGCTCTCTTTTTATTACATATTATTATTTTATTTAATGCACATTGCCAAATAATCACGCCAGATCATCGTTTCCAATTATCCAATAGAATTGCACAATTCTGACACGTACCCAAATGGAGTCCCACAAACCATTTATTTCGGATCTCTGTTTCGCGTGTTTCTTCCCAACTTTATAACAAATTATAATTTATTTATTAATAAAAAATATTTATTCGATTATTTAACTATTATGGAAGATGCATGAACTTATTGAATATCCCAAAATCAAATTTACAATATTGACACACACACACACATACATGTCAATGCTAATAATTTATTAAATAAAATTGTTAGTGTTTATTAAAATGATTAAATAATAATAATATTTTGAAGGGTATTAAATATTAATGTTTAAAAAGATAATAATTAATTAATAACAGATACTAATTATAAATAAATGAGATGTAAGAATATTTTGGAGTCGCCGAGTGAAAACTGCATGGCGTACACATCGCGTCTCGCATCAATGGCGGAATCCATACCTTATTTGAATTTAAAGCTAAGGCGGGTCCCACATATTTATTAATTACATTAAAAATCTGAGTTATTTAATGTTTTAGGCCCACATGTTATTGGGCTGGACCAAAATGAGGAAGCCCATATGAGGCCCACTGAAATGGGACCAAATTTCCTGATTCCTAATGATGTGAGTTCAATGATGGACAAACTTTTGAACACATTGAAGACACCACTTTGATTAAACAGCCTTTGGCCCCTCCACCTGAAAGCTCAAACATCAAAGATAAGCCATAAGGCTTCCTTTATGAGCAAGTATTAACTTGAATGGTTTCAGTTTACATCCTACTTTAACCCTTTTTCAACTCTCTCGGCTTCTTTTTCTAACGCTGTTTGGGCTCACCGGACAACTATAAGGATGTGGAGAAGAGAACGAAGTATTCCTTATAAGGGTGTGGAGAAGAGAACGAAGCATTCCTTATACGGGTGTGGAGAAGAGAACGAAGCATTCCTTATACGGGTGTGGAGAAGAGAACGAAGCATTCCTTATACGGGTGTGGAGAAGAGAACGAAACATTCCTTATACGGGTGTGGAGAAGAGAACGAAACATTCCCTATAAGGGTGTGGAGAAGAGAACGAAGCATTCCTTACAAGGGTGTGGAAACCTCTCCCTAATAAACGCGTTTTAAAACTGTGAGGCTGACGGTAACAGGCTAAAGCGGACAATATCTGCTAGCGGTGTACTTGGGCTGTTACAACTACCTAACCTCGTTACATTTGGTGAGTACCCACACGGTACAACGGTTTGAACCCCATTTCCTCTAAACCCTTTACTTCTCTTATTGCTCGTCATTAATTTCTTGTAAAATGATTAATGAAGACCCAAATAGATTTGAAAACACATCTAACCTACTATGTTCAAGCAAGCCTTTATTGATTGGGTAAATGAACATAATATGTGACTATGAGGTTTCCCATATGATCTAGTACTAAACTTGTTCCAGTTTTCATTCAATATATCAATTTTTCATCCGAAGTTCAGAAGAACATCATATTGATCCAGATAGAACAGGGAACGAAACATCGATTGAAGAGAGGAACGAAACATTATTTAATAAAGGTGTGGAAATATCTCTTTAATAGACACATTTCAAAATTGTGAGATAAACGGTGATACATAGTGACGTTTACATAATTTTAATTATTAAAAATTATTTGTTCGAAAATCGTAACCCAAACCGATTGGAGAGAGTGGCAATGGACTCAGAATATAAAATGGGCTTTAGCTTTAGGCCCATGGACTTTCCAAGCCCACAAGATTTATAAAACAAAGTCCGAATATTATAATATAAAAAACTAAAAATATATATTTTTTAATAAAAGAAAAAATAATTTTAATTTTTTTAAGAAAGGAGTATCAATAATTGGAGAGAGGGTTTAAGAAGAGATGTGACGCTAGGACTTGGGCAGGCTTTTCATATCGATAAGCGCTGAGTCACTTATATCACTACACTTTCCTGGTGCCACGTCCATTCTTATCCTTTCAGCTTATTTTTGTAAATTCCCAAACTTACCCTTCCCAATTTATAATTCCGTGGATGGAGGAAGGGTGTCGCCTTGTCATTTTCCACCTTTTCTCTCACCAACAAATAAATAAAAGCATCTAAATATTCTAATCAACCACAAAAATTCCACTTCCCACCCTCCACTTAACCATGGTTACTATTTTCCATGCCTCTACCTACCTATGGTTACAATTACCCGTCTATTTTCTCGATGATTGAGTTATCGAAAAGAAACCTGCACCATGTTGGTAGGGTCGTTCTTATTCAAATATGATTTTGATTCATTTATTTTGTAGGTCATTTTTTTATGCTTGGAAGTCAACGGACTCCTTCTCTCGATGATCAAATCAAAATCCGAATATTTCACATTTTTTATTTAAAATAAATAACAATAATACCCAAATTTATAAACCATGATTAAATTCATAGAACAACATAAATTAAATTAGATCTCAATTACAAGTATTTGGAGTTAATTGTCACAAGTCATAACCCAAAAAAACATTATCTCAAAAATTTTTAAAGAAGAAAGAAAGTATCATCAACAAAGCACAACAAAATCCTAATTTCCCCCTCAAAATTATGCCATAATTTCAATTTCTTCTTCCCCAAATTATTCTGTTGATTTCAGTAAATTTTCCGGCGAGAATTCCGAGCAAGATCTCTTCCTCTGCAGCAAAGAGGAACTAAATCCAAGCATAGAAGAACCCATGTCGAAATCAAGCACGATATCCTCCATTTGATAGCCTCCCAATACGACGGCGTTTTTCGGCTTCAATCCGCCGTCGACGATTGCTAAACAGAAGGTTTCATCATTAACTTTCACCATCGAATTTCTCCCATCGAATTTCCATCTAACCATCTCGCTCTGCAGAATCAGTTCAATCTTCGGTACTTTTGGCCCTGTCGCCGTCATCTCCATGTTTTCCGATGCAAAACACACCTCAAACGATGCCACCGGAGCCACTTCTTTCATGTTCATTGCTCTGGCCGCCTCTCTGAATGCCGCCGTCAGAGATTTGAAAATCGAGCTCTCCAGTGCGGTGTATGGAACCACCGTGCTCAATCTCGTCCCTCCGCCATCCTCGCTGTCCAAATCGAGTAACGATTTGTCCAGAACGAGGCGGTTTCCGTCGACTTTGATAGCCTTAACATTAATGAAATACTCCGCCGACTGAGAGCCGTCGATTATCTTAGTCAAAATCGGCGTATAAGTCAAAGAATTCGAAATCTCTGATCCATAAACAGAGTCTTGACTTCCACTTTCGGGAAAAACGACGCCGTTCGTCGACGACAGACAAACGGAAAATCGCCGGTGAAAACCGAGCTCCGTTGCAATCTGAGCAGGAAGCGAGATCTGATTCCGGCCAAGCCCCAAAATACCTTTAGCAGATTTCGCCAAACCTTGCAAAAGAAACCTCGGAGCACAAGAATGAACAGCGACAATCACCGCCGCCGTTGACCGTGCTAAAGCCCTCACCGCCACCGTATCCTCAACCAGCAACGCCTTCCCTACCAAAGCCCCAAACGGATTCCTCGCAACTACCTCACACGCGCCGCCGCCAGACCCAGATCTACTACCATCGCCTGTCGCCGCAACGCACTGAATCGACCGGCTCTGAATCGTGCGGCTGGAGGTAGAACTTCCACAGGCCATCCAGAGAGAAGGCCCGCCAAGATCGACGGCGAGATGGATCGGCTTAATCGGAGAGCCATGGTAGACGGAGGCCAAATACTGATTCGTAACGGAATCTTTAGTAACTGGAATGACGAGAGAGAAAGTTCGGCCATGAAAGAAGGAAAAGAAACAGATAAGAAGAAGAAGAGAGTGAGATTGGGGAACAGCCATGGAAATTTTTGGTAGTCGGCGGCGATTCGCCGCGAATTGGGAATAAGGTTAGAGAGAGAGAAAATGGAACGTGTCAAACCCCGCGGTGGTAATTGGATAAGGCCCAAGTGGAGCAGTTCGTTTGAGGGAATATATTTATACAAATTTGATATAAATTTTAAAAATAAATGTGAAATTATTCCTAAATAAATAAATAAATCCGAAAAATGATGGGAGGCTGACGTGGAAATAGATTGTGTATATCCTCTTTTGCCAAATCATTTTATCCTTATAATTTTATAAATTTAATTTTTCCTAAATAAATCTATATGTAAATTAAAGTTAATTAATCGATTTTATCCAAAACTGTCCTATGCAATAATAAACTAAAAAAATGATAGTATATTTGTATATTATTTGAATTTTTTAATTAAAAAAATGAATGATATGCAAATCAAAACTAAAGAATTTTATCACGTAATTCCAAATAGACTTTATAAGCCAATCATATTATAAAACCTAAATTGTATCCTTTTTTAAAAATTAAAAATAAAATTCATCTTAAAAAAATAAAAGAATATATATTTGTTTAATCAAGAAAATACAAAAAATTTATTTTCTACGTTTTCGAACTTTGCCGCTGATTCGGTGACTGAGGTTCGCGGTTTATACAAGTATTTTGTTCGTAAAAGAAGCAGAATCAATGAAGGCTGAATCCATATAAACGGTTTAAGAAATTTTTGAGCGGGGATTTCCAATCGATCCATTTCCGCTGGACACTCGAGAATTTCCTGGTGAGTATTTTGATTCTTCTTTTCTTCGATTATTTTTCTATTAGGTATTTGATTCTAGCTCAAATCCCCTAATTGAAAAATCGTGGTGTTTATCGAAGCCACCGACAGTTACTAAGCTGGCTAATCAATTCGTTATTTCCAATTAATACTTCAAATTTCATCAGTTATGATCGATTCGTTTGATTGAGTGCTCTGATTAGAAACTTTTTTTCAGCAGTCGAATCCATAGAGAAGGAAAAAACGTCATACGCTATTCATTGACAAGAGGAGAATCTGAAAAATTTTGTATGAAAGGCTGGACATCCGTTTTTTTTCCTTCTTTTAATTAGAACCTGTTTCTGCGGGTCAGCGAAGGGGTAGATTTGGGGATTTGATATTGACATGAATTGGCGTTTTGAATTTGTTTGTTTAAAACAGTTGGCGTTTGGCTCTTCGGCCTTTGGTTGAGGCACTACCTCTGTGCCATTAATTCAGTTCATCGATCCTCCAATTTTCTTTGAATCTAATACAATCTTCATCACCTTGTATTATTGATAACTGTTGAATTTCAGGTCACGGACTTATGATATCATGTATATAATTTGAATCGGTGATAATCTCCATTTGTTTGTCTGGATCCGCGTGCATTTCAATTTCCAGCTTCAAATGATGTTTAAACCATGTAAATTGGGATGTTTGTAAGAATTTTCCGTGCATTTTTTGAAGGGGAAGGAAAAGAAAGAACATATAGGACTTGGTTTTGGTTTTCAACTATGGAAATGGATCAAGCTGATTTGAGTGTTCGATTATCTGCGCTTTGGAATATCATTGGTGCAAGAAGAAGCCTAAAAGACGACGGAATTCCTTGCCAAATCGAAGAGGTAATCCTAATTAGAATGAGTCTAGAATGACTTTTGAGAGTAGTGCTTTTACGTGAAATACTCTTTAAAAACACTACATAATCTTTGTTTCTCGAAATCACTAAATTACTTTGGCTAAACACCATGAAAATTTTGAAAAATGCTTTGGCTAATAGCAATTTTCATCCTTTCAAAGTCATCCTAATTCACCCTTTTAAACTTTTTGGCTGGTTGATTGTGTTTACTATTGTAGTAAGTGGTCCAGACTTCTGCTTAAACTGCATTCTGAAGCTGCTGTTCTCTGTTGTTTCTCAGGGTGTGTTCTTAGGTTCTATTGGAGCTGCCCATAACAAGGATGAACTGAAGAAATTGAATATCACTCACATTTTAACCATTGCTTGTTCCATGCCACCTGCTAATCCAAATGACTTTGTATATAAAGTAGTTGGAGGTATGTATAAAGTTCCAACTTCAATTTGGTGCAACAATTTTTTTGTACATGTCCCATAACTTAATACTTTTACCCAATGTTTATTAGAATTCTAGCTACTTCCCTTCCCATCCCATCGTATGTTGGTTGGAGAGGGAAACTTCTCTCTAACACGTGCTTTTTAAAACCGTGAGACTGACGGCGATACGTAATGGGCCAAATGCGGAAAATATCTGTTAGCAGTAGGCTTGGGTTGTTACAAATGGCATCAGAGCCAGATACTGGGCGGTGTGCTAGCGAGAACGTTGGGCCCCAAGGGGGATGAATTGTGAGATCCCACATCGGTTGGAAAGGGGGAACAAAGCATTCCATATAAGAGTGTGAAAACTTCTCCCTAATAGATGCATTTTAAAATTGTGAGACTGACGGCAATACGTAACCGGCCAAAGCAGACAATATTTGCTAGGAGTGGGCTTGGGCTGTTACACTTATGGAGAATGATTCCGTCTGCATTTTTCTCAACCAACCAGGAATGTACTTGATTATTTCATTTCTAGTTGCATCTTCTTAAAGACAAAATTTTTTCCCCATATCCTACTCTTCATGTGGGATATTCACTATGCATCTTAATAATACCGTGAACGATTTACAGTATCATTGCTGTTTAGGCTTCATGTTCTGAATTTAAGTCATCAGTGCTTATCATAGTTTTTGTATCAAATGTATATCCTACTGCTGACATCAAATGTCATTTCCTGTTGTGCGCAAATCGAGGTAGTCGTGGACACTAGAGACGCCGATATTAAACAGCACTTCGATGATTGTTTCAATTTTATTGAGGAAGGAAGACAATCTGGAGGGGTCTTGATTCATTGCTTTGCTGGAGTATCCAGAAGGTGATTTTGCATTCTGATTCAGTCGTTGGCTTTGGCACGAATTCTGCAAAGACTTTCCTCTCTCTTTTTAATTTCAATATATATTGTTTTCCTCCTTCCCAACTCATAGAATTTGTCGAGCATTCTGATTCATTCAACTGTTTAATCTTCTGCATATTGACATAATTCTTCTGTGTTGTATGTAAACTTCTCTTCATTTACCTTGCAGTGTAACCATTACCGTTGCCTATCTGATGAAAAAGCGTGGTATGAATCTAACTGAAGCATTGGAACATGTCAAGAGTAGACGACCACAGGCTTCTCCGAACGTCGGTTTCATGGTTCAACTCAAGGAATTCGAAACAACTCTTCAAGGTTGGTTTTGTTCAGCTGAAACTGCCCCATTTTGTTTTTCATTTTCAACTCTCCTCAACCGAATCTGGGTTTGTTTTCACCATATGTAGCTAGCAAAGAGGATGGGATGAAATTGTCAAATGTTTGAGCTCTCAGCAGCTGCAGATAACTTCCATTTACAACCGAATCAGGTAAGCTCTCAAGACACTACGAGTATAGCTCTACAATAATTGGATTGTACTTCTGTTTTCAAGGTCAGTTAAGTTAGACGTTCACAATTTCCACTTCGAATTGGACAACAAATGATAACAACAGGCTGGGAGTAGGGCCATAGTGTGAACAAGTAGGCCCATAACCAAATGGGCTTTGTTCTGAGCCCCATAGTAATCCACCCGTGAGCCAAAATCCACTTTTGTGGGCCCATTAACACACACAGAGAGATATTCTGGCCCTTTAATTGGAATAATTTCATTTCCAAAGGATTTGCTTCGGAATAATTCACGTAATTATTGGATAAGATGATGCTAACCATTAAAGTTGATTTCCCCAACAGCCGCCAAAAATAAACACAATTGTTCAAATAGGCCACACTATATCTAGGTTGAGTAAATTAATTTACTTCTGTCAGAGGAAGAGTTTTATTTATTTTGGGAATAAATATTAAAAGTATGATTTAAAATTTTGAAGTGAGAATTATGTAGGTGGATATAAAATAATAGTGGAAAAAGGAGAGGAACCCACAAGCAAAGGAATGTCTCTATCAAACCAAGTGTGGGAAATTTCAAAAAATTAAATAAAAAAAAAAAAAGGAAGCGCGTTAATGATGGAGTGTAATAATGAGGCGTGGTTGGTTGTATTTGCTAGTTTGTTCACTTCCATGGGCCCCATCTCTTCCCTTATTGGGCCTTTCTCTCGGCCCAATTTCCCAAAAAACTCTCTACCGACATGGACATTTAAAAACTTGGATTTTAGGAAAAATAATAAATATCTAAATTATTTTCGTGGCATTTAAAAAAAAAAAAAAAAAAAAAAAA